GGTACGTTCTCTGACTCAATCTTCAAGAGCCCCTAAAACCAATTTCAATGTTTTATATAAGGACCAATGAAGATATCTATCAATTTATTGCAGATTTATCATCAGAGGTCAAATTTTAAATAATAAAGATGGTTCATTTAGCAGGGTAAACAGATTATCCATCTATATTCTACACTTTTCAATATTTTCTTAGATATCTTAACAGGTCTTGAAGAGATAATAGAAAAATAAACGCATACAGATGAAAAGAGGAGAAGTAGCAACATGCCACTCTAGCTCTAACCTCTTCAGGATGACTGACACAAATGAAAACTTATGTAATAAAAACAAGCCATCCTCACTGGCTATTATATGAAAACCGATATTACATTACAGCAGCAGCGAGCCAAGAAAGTGCTCGCTCATGGCGGAGAGACTAAGGAATAGAGCATACCAAGCCGTCTGTGACACAACCGCTATGTCTGTTAGAGAGGAGATCCTCTTTCAGAGTGATAAATGCTTCCACAATGAGCACCGATCTGAAAAGCGGGGACGGGACAGGCGCTGGCAAACGATGAAGACCAATTATCCCGGCAGGAACATCCTGGAGAACCGGTCGTACACAGAAAGAAACAGAACATAAAAAGGAGGAACCTCAAGCTGCCAAGGAGAGCAAATGAAAGGCAGGAAGGTATAACCCTGGCATGTGCAGGGATTCATCTTTGGAAGGAGGATGAGAAGAACCATGATGCATTTCGAGAGACAGACTGGAAAAATTAAATATGAAAGCTGGAGGAGAGTAAACTGAAAGAGAGAGAGGTAGACCAAACTGACAGCAGCAGAGGGTGAGGGAGGCGAAATAATATAGGCAGGAAGCTGAAGCAGAGGAGCAGAGAGGGAAGGCGAGAAAAGGAAATGCCTAAAGATGAGGGCTGTTCAAAATGTCAGACAGTAAGGAAACTGGAAAATGAGCTGGATTTCAAAGACTGGGAACAAACACAAACAGACTGCAAAGAGTCCACAAAGTGGATGCAATGAGGAGAAAATCTGCTTTCTGTCTCAAGAAATTTATATTTAAACTCTCATGCTCCAAAATCCCTTATCAATAAATACACAAGCAGCACTGCTACGAAAAATAAATGACCAGTTTGACTGTGTGCCGTGTGTAATTCAGTTTTCACCCCAACAAAACCCTCGGTGCTCTTGTCATCGGCGGACAATCTAATCAGACCTGCCGACTGAGCGGTTCATAGGAATGCGACGCAGGGAGAAGCCACACAAAGGCAGGGCCAGAGGGGTGCAAAGCGCACGTCAGCTCGAATTCCAAAGTTTGGACATCACCAGAGCACTCTTCACAGCACTGCAGCCGGGCAGACCGGATAGCGCAGCCTCTGAAGAAACTCCTGACAGCAACGGCCCTTTGTGGGGCCGATCTGTATCATAATTAAGGATGATTGAAGCAAATTGCTTGTAATTTTCTGGCTGGGTTGACAGCTTTTTCGGGGGAAAAATGCCAAACAAGGTGACACTTCATTAAAAACAAAAGAATTTCTCAAAGAAAATGTTCACTTTACACTGGAAGCATTTTTCTAAATCCTCCTGTCCAATCTTTGAGCGATCGACACTGTAACCTCCAAGAGTGTTTGGGAGAGCGTGTGATTGTTGGATCCTGTGGACAAGCCTGAACATGTTCACATATTATCTTATTACCACCTGACAATTACTCTAACATTCTTTACCCAGAATAGAATAGAACCAAGTAATAGAACAACAGGTTACTGCTTATACTTCGTTTCATGCTAGTAAACTAAAAGGATGTTCTTCCATTTATCAAATCAGTGACCCAGGTGTATGGTTTATTGTTGAAGAAGACTCAAAGTTGGCTTATTTCAGGATCAATAAGTGTTTACCATAAGACAAAGGAAGCAAAATGAAGAAATTTCTGCAATCTATTGAGACAATGAGAGAGAGTCGCATTTTTAGCAGCTAACAGGAAGGCTGAACAGATTACTGCAAATATGGTATTTTTAACTATTTGAATTACAAAACTCAAACTATGAAGCATGTTGGCTTTGGAAAGGCTATGGCAACCTTATGGATACTACGGCTGCAATGAATGATAATTTTTTCCTAATCGGTTAATCTGTCATTTGATGTCAAAATGTTCTATTTAGAAGATTTTTGACATAATTTTAACCGGATGGCACCTACTACGGCACCTCAGGAGTTCTGGATAGAACAAATTTAAGGTTTTTTTTCTTCTTGAATGCAAAATGTTTACATAGTTCTAGTGAGTTGCTCTTCAGCTAATGGCATGTGTTAGAGTATTTCAACTCTAGCTAATAATCATTTACTAAAATAAGTTGGAAATTATTACAATAATTTACAATTTACAAATAATCCACTTAATTGGAATACTGCTGATCAATACCTCACAGGTAATGTATCAAGAATCTAGACTCTGGCTGAGCTAAATCTAGCAGCACTGATCACATACATTAAGCGCTACAGACAGTTTAGAATATCAACTCCAAATAACTCTTATTTAAACAGCAAACATCTGTTTTAAAGTGATGTTTAATAGAAAACATGGTGACATCATGTCCTCATCATATAACCTGTAACAGTGGTTCAAAGCTTTAAAATAAATACTAAGGGCTGCTACTCGACTAGGGCTGAAATAATTAATTCCTGAAATAAATAAATTAATTAAAAACTGGAGTATACAGACTCTGAAACATGTCAATAGTTAAAAGACTATCCCACTCAGAGCAGTAATTATACCAAAGTTGTATTCAGGATTAAAAAAGGACAATGTTTTCTATTAATTACTCCTAATGTGGTGTAGTTTTTCCTTCACTTTGTTTAATTTTATATAATATCTTAGGAAAACCTTTAGGAAACCTTTTAATGTCTGATTACTAGTAAAAAAAAATTAAATAATCCACAGATTTATCAATTAGCAAAATAATAATAAGTTGCAGCCCTAAACCCAACTTTACAAAACCTCCCTCTCTTAGCCAGCGGTCCAACTTTCATATGAAAAGCTGCTTGTTTAGGCAAAACAAGCTCAGCACACCCCTCTTGTGAGGACGATGATATCCAAACATTATTTCAAGTTGGAAGCGAAATCTTAAATACTTGCTCCCCAATTCAAATCCCAAAACATTCATACCTAAAAAGCACGTCCCTTTTCTCTGAGCTGTCAGCATGACCTGATGCTGCTCATCTAAACTAATGTCTGCGATTATAATGTTTCTACTGACTAGGCTGATAAATTTAAGAGATACTTAAAAAACATAATAAAACACTAAAGCAGATTTCTGCTTTTGTTTTTGGTTTTAGCATAAAATAGGCAACAATTCAATTCAGTTTATTTACATAGCACCAATTCACAACACAGGTCATCTCAAAGCACTTTACAGTTCACCAGATCATGCAGTCAAATTGATTCAAAGCAACAGGAAAATTAGGGGAATGACATCTACATTTACGACTTTTTTGTTGTAAAGGATGACCAGAAACAAGTGGAGGGGGGTCATATAACTCAAACACTCATTGCAGTGGAATACATCTACAGTAATCAGAAACATTCCCGTATCCAGGTAAGACAGGAAACTGCTGTGTTTAATAAAAACAACTAATAGGTAATGCAGCAACAAGTGGGGGAGGGGTAGCGTTATCACTCCATGTTCTAGGCAGTGTTATGAAAAACAAAAACTGGTTATTTCAGCCCTTCCTTTAGCATCTTATAACAATATATTGGTGGAAAATCAGTGTACAAGCAATTAATACTTTAATTGCTTGTACCAATAATTACCTATGGACCTGTGCTGAAAGGAAACAAACTGGGGCCACAGAGGAAGAAAACCATCCTCCTGTTCTGACCTGATTTACTGTAGGACTTCAGCATTCATTTTTAAGGACAGCTGCAGGTAAGCTCCAGACCTCCTCCCATCTTCCATAAAATAAAAACTCCATTTATAGTGAAGCATTTCCTAATCTAATTCAATCCATGGATCCAAATGAATTCACAGCATGCAGATGGGGGGGTCGGGGTGGGACGACTAATTTGGTTAACAAGGATTTGATTATAAAACACGCGCGCGCACACACGTAGAAATAAATGAGGAGAATCCAATAGAGCAATGAGAGCATTTTCACTAGCTGACAAGCAATGCGCACTCAAACACACCCACAGAAAGCCATCGCCTCCTCTCCATCCCTGCTCCGCTCTCAAACGGAGGGGATTCAATTGCTGTCGAATAACAAAGCCCGCAAATTGCCTCCCATTCGTTAGCAGATTAACGCTCTTTTCACTGCGCACCAACACAATTTCTAATTATTTCAAAGCTAATAAGAGGGATCGATTTTTTTCCCCTTGAGAAATCCATCACAACTCCCTCCCTAAGGTCCTTTTAAGAAATAAATAAGTGCTTAGGATGCATAAAATAAATAGTAAAGGAGAAGAATAACCAGAGGACATTGTGCGTCAGGGTGTGAATACCTGTAATTATGGATGATAGTGGTGGCATTCCTCCTCCTTCCTCTGAGGGAAAGGAAAGACGCACCTAAAAACCTCGATCCTTAAGGTGCATTTCTTTTCTAACAGGTTAAAATAATTTAAAAAATATCATAGGAACCAAAGCCAGCCATAAACTTAGCCTCCACTGCGCCAAAGAGAGGCTGCAAAGGAGGAAAAAAACACACCAGCAGAGAGTAGTTTCAGCGCCAGGTGTTTAACCCGAGGTCATTGAAAACGTTCAGATAAACTAAGACGCCTAAACAACTAGTTTCCAGTGTGGATCCAACCCCAAACGCTGCGCGCAAAGCTCCAACAGAACAAACACGCGTCCAACTCCTTCAACCAGCAAACCCCCCCTCCTCAAGATAAAACACGGCGACCAAACGGAGCTCCAGCAAACTGTAAAAGCAAAAATAAAAGCTAAACATTTCAGCCTAAAAGCCGAGCTTGTTCCCTTCCTTCCACCTCCCCAAAAACCTCTCTCGCCGGTACTTACGCGTCTAAGTGATCCTGAGGGTTGATATCCCCGCCATGGTTTTAAATTCCACAACTTGGGCACATTTCCACGCTGGTCACACGGAGTGGCGGCGGTGCTCTCTGTCCGACTGCTCCCCTGCGTGTGAATGGAGCGGAGAGGAGTGGAATGCAGCTCCTGCTCTAGGAGGAGGAGGAGGAGGAGGAGGAGGCGCACTGCTGCTGCAATACCCTACGCAACCGATAGAGGGCTTCACAGCACAACTTGTAAACACTGAGTGCCCTGATGCTGCAAACACAAACTCCAATGTTTTTAATTGGTTATGATGTGATAGACCAATGTATTGTAGCCAATAAAAACAGAGGAAGGTTAGACACATTGTTTTTACCTTTTTTTCTACTTTTAAAAGAAAGCATAAAAGGGATGGGATGGAGTCCCATACATGCAAAGTTCCAAGTATCAGCACTCATGTCTCAGTCATCTGGGAGGAGGATCAAACAGGTCAAGCCCGGAAATAGGTCAAACAAGTCATTTTCCCCCCCTAATGTCTGTTTTCAGTCAATATTTTTTGTTAATTCAAGCTGAAAAGGCAATGAATTAGATCAACATGAATGAAGTTTAAAACCAAACTGCTTTTTGTTTGTAAAAATAGATTTAACAATCACATTAATGTATGCAATGGCTTAACTATCGGTAAGCAGAGACTGCAGTTGCTTAGGGGCCCCGTCACTGACACCTGGTTGGCCCACTACGCAATTGTGGACTAGGACGTCTCTATGCAGATGTAATGGTGTGGAAAAATTACTCTTAAACCCACCTGATACTACAGTGGTACTTTTAATTACTATGTTAATAACTGTGTATAGTTCATTCAACAGTTGGTCAAAAATACACTTATATAAAATGTTTCAAACCGCAATAAAAATCTGAAAAGAATGGCGTATTTGAGTATTTTATTTTTTACAATACGACTTGGAATTATGGGTAATCCAGAGCGTAGATTAAAACCTTAACCGTTAGGTACAATGTGTTAGCGACGATGGATACCAAAAAGAGGTATTTAAGTGGATTCCAGAAAAGAAAAACAAAAGAAGAGCTGCTCGAAGAATGGAAAAACTGTAGAACTAAGACTCATTTTACACTAGAATATACGAAAGTATATCCATGTCTAGTGAAGGTGAAGAAGGATGAAATGATGAAGTGTGTATGTATGGGGCGCACATTTCGGATCTACTGCAGCGGCTGCGCCGTGGGGATGGGGTGTTGTACTTCATATGGGGCCCACCCAGATAATGTTGATTACGGCCCTATTGTTGTGTCGTTATGCCATTGACTGTATGTTGAAAAGAAACACAGTATAAGTTAGAATGTGCTCAACAAGTGAGTGAGGCACTAGATCTGAATGTCCGTACAAATTGAAATACTAAATTTCTCATTTTATGGTCAGGTATCAGTGGCAACAATCACATAATGTATATGAAAAAAAAACAACATATGAACAGTTGGAAAGCACTTAATTCAATAAGAGTGAGATGGAAAGAAAAGAGAGCGGGGAGAGAGAACAATCTGTGACCAAGAGCGCATCAGAATATCTTTTTGGGAGCCATTTACAAATTGTCATTACACTTGCAAAAATCTAATTGGTTAAAACCTTTGCACTGAGTTGTGAAGGATGGGGTCTCATGGTGATACCATCATGGCGAAACACACACTCACTGAATTCCTCATCCACCCGCATCCACCACTCTATGAGTTACGCACAGCTTGGACTTCATTTTGTTCTTCTTATACTTGTATATTTAAAATATCTCACGACTGTCAACATTTGATAGGTTCTCATCAGCACAGGCAGCTGTGCTAATCTTTTTTAAACCTAAAAAATACTGCGTATTGATGTTTATATTAATTTTTTTTATTTTGTTGACAGTTTCTATTTGGATAATGCATATTACACCCTAAAAACACACACAGAGACACACACTCACAAAATTCATGTTATGTGTAGATTCTTACTTTCCTGATTCTGATTACTCATTGCATGCATATTCAGGAGGCACGTTAATTAGTTCAGGTATTTAAGCTCATGGATGCAAAATAATTGTTTGGTTTAAAAAAAAAATCTGATTGAGAGACTGATGCAGGTAATTCTCTCTGTACTTTGCATGAAAGATAGGTTGACAGGTTTGCTGATATCCTCCAGGTCAGGAGCACTCATGCAAAGTGAAGCAATGATTATCTAATAACTTATTTTCTAATAATGATAATAGAATGAACGCGATTGCAGTGAATTGGCAAGTTAGATGAGTCAGGTCAAGTCAATTCACAGGTCAGGAAGGGTTAGTTAAAGTCAAGTCAAGACTTTTGTTAGCTTTAATCAAGCAAGTCATAAGTCCCAAATGTGACGCCTTGAGTCAGACTCATTGACTCCAGTCCCTCATCTCTGAAGCATAATACAAATATTCCGTCCAATTGTTTTCATCCTTCTACTCCTGTACACCTGATTAAAATTAATTGCAATCAGTTGCCAAGTCACCTTGTTTGCAAATACAGTTACTCTATGTCTAATCTATTATCATTATAAATAAAGTTGTTTGTGATCATTGCTTAGTTTCTTGTGAGTGAACAGCATCATGGAGACCAGATCAAGTTTGAGGGAATATTTGAGTGTATGTTCGGTTCTCTGCAGTCTGAATGTCCGTATTTCTAAAGAGAGACTTACCTTCCACAGATGCATTACTCGACATGGGAGCTGACCTAAGGGACACCCAAGCTCCTTTAGATCCAGGTGCCCAAAATGTTCAGAATTTGGTCAAACAAAACTAATGGTTTGAAAGAGAAATAAAGGAAGCTATTCTTGTCAAATGAGAGAGAAAAAACAAAAACCATAAACGTAACAGCAGGGCTGAAATTTCAGAATATTACAACGTAAATCTAGGTTTTAAATCGATAATGTGTGAGTTTCAAACCAATTCCCACCTTGTTTTATTTGACCAAACCAGATAATCAGTGGGTGATTAAGAACTAAAGACATGTTTAGGAAATTATAATATATATATAAATATATATTCAGAATAACCTTTGAACTATATAGATTTTTCTTGTTATGTATAGAACTTGTGCATTTGTACATAACAATCAGAAGAATGATTATTTAAGCTAAATCCCTTTGAAGCCTTTTTGATGCGTCCAGTCATTCTACCGTGCAACAGGTATCACCTTTGGCCATGACTGCACACATAAAAATGTTATCAAAGTCGTAAAGTACAAAGTCCACATCCACATGAAGGCGGGTTCTCCCCCTTCATCAGAAAACTATGAATGACCTTGTTTAATTTATATATTGTTCTTCTATATTATTAGAATTAGAATGCTTAGCACCAACATGTTCGGATAATGCCATTTTTTTGAGCAGTTTTGTCACACTTTAAATTTATAGGGATTCTTATTAAGACAATTTTAACCGCCTGATCTCCCTGGGGAAGGTTAAAAAAAAGAAAGCATAGTAGTGGCAGCATCATGTTGTGGGGATGCAACTCTAAGTGGACACTTTCAGAAGTGCAGCCGGGAAGCGATGGGCTATATGTCTTAAGTAGATTGCAAACTTTATTTTTAACATTTAATTGGTATTAAAGTAAAAACAAATGTAAACAAATGGCATAGATAACATCTTTGGGACTGTAATTAATAGGTGAGGTTTGATTTTTTAGCAGATGTAAGACTTGATTTTTTCTGTTTACAAGAAAAAACACCAATAAGATGAGGTTCTGTTTATGATTTATGTGTAAAGAAGTTGCATTTTAACGTATATTATTAGACAAGAGGGATCTCAGGGCAGATGTCTGTATAGGGAGAAAAAAAACAATAAACAGGTAGTCGCATAACTGCTGCAATATGTTTTACTTCTTTTGAATATCAGATGGTTACTCTGGCCAGAGGGACTTCACATGTTCTTTTTCCAGTGCGTGTTACACACTGGAAGATCATGAGAGGCACGCTGCCTACTCGCTCCATTTCCCCTGTGAGAATCAGCAACCTACGTGTAAAAAACCGTCTGAAGCAAACCTAATGCTGCTTTTTTAAGATCATAAAATAGTAATTCTCCACTTTTCCTTCAAAAGCCTCCTAAGAGCTGAAACTTAGCCTTACGTAACAAACAGACAATATGTGAATGTGCCATGTTTACACTGGGGTATGGTTTTACATAAAAGCATATTAAACATCTGCAAATTGACACAAAGAGTGAAATGATGAGCCAGTATTTAGTGGGAATTAAAGCTTTGTAGCGTTGGGTTTCAGAAATCACTGCAGAGTCGGAGGATTTCAACTGTTTAAATGCCGTCTGAATACAGTAGAGTTATGTTAGTGTATGTCTCTGCAGTGCGGAAGCTTTTGGGATAAGTGAGTTATTCAAACAGGCAGCTCGGGTTACCAATTGCACTCAGGAGAGAAGAGAGCAAGATCTGGCACTAACCACACCACCTGGCCCTTATATGCTAAGTGTGTTTGTGTGTGTGTGTGTGTGTGTGAGTGTAATAAAGGGGAGAGAGAATATATGGGTTGAAAGAAGTAGGTTTAATGTGAGTTTTTGATTGAGAATGATAAGGACATTTGTGTGCTTTGCATGAATTGAAAAAAAGACAAATTTCAGCCTTTTCAAGAAGATTTCCCTTGGGTCAGTGTCACAAGCCAGCGTTAAGTTCTTTCCTTAAGCTCTCAGTGTTACTTTAGAATTGATTAGTTTGGTTATAGTCATACTAAAAGATTAGTCTCACTTACCATGTGAAAGGCCTCTGGACAAAACCATCCTCCATCTAAATCTTAAACACTAACACACTGATTAGCTTTGGGTTCCTGCGCTTATATCCTTTCAACTCACTTCAGGCTTTGTGCCATTATCATGGGAGGAATTGATGAATTATGAATAACGTTAGCCTTGTGGAAACTAGGATCAAAAGACAGCCTGCAATACGAATAGTCATTTCCTTTTTATTATGCCGACATGTGTCCAGTAATAATGTGATGATAAAGCCCTTTAAATCAAGATAGACACAGCTTCGACGTTCTTACCTACAGCATGCAACTAAAAGTTGTTTTGTCTACAGTGCTCGGTGATGCATTTCCAAATGAGCCAGATTAATC